TCACATCGTTCATTTTATTTATGAAGTTGATCAATCAACCCTGCGGATCCTCGAATCTTGCTTAGCTATAACTCAACAATATTTTAACACATTTTAAATTAAATTTTGATGATTAAATTAATTGAGTAGAATATTCATAAGAAAACATAAATTATAAGCAAGTAGCCCTCTAATTTTTTAAGTAATAAAACTTTAAATGTCATATCAATTAAAATTATATATTTAAGATGATTCATATATATAAAAAAAATCTTCTTATCTATAGGCAGGTAGCCCTTTCTTTATTGTTTAATAAGAAAAAAAAAATTTTCTGATTTGGCCTCTCCCCATGAACACGTATGGCGGCCATAAATTAGTCCAAAAGCTTTCTTTTTCATAACACCAACGTTCTCCAATTGCTAGTGACTAAACTCAATTATCATATTAAATTAAAATAAATATAATAAGTATGAGATTTATTGTGATCTAAACTCAATTTTATATGATTTTTTTAATTTTTTTTTATTAATAGGCTATTTTTCGTTCGCTCATGGGAACGTAATTTTATTAGCCCATTTTACGTAAGAGGCCGAATAAGATATATTGTAATGTATGTACATTGAATTCAAATTTATCTGTGGGCAACATCCAGATCTCACTGGCAAGATTAATAATGAAAGCAGAGAAAGGGAGAGAGAGAGAGAGGATGGGGATTAGATTCTAGTTTATTATTCAAAAATAAAGAACTTTTTTTTTTTAGAAACTAAATAACTTAAGATAATAACATGTTGTCCCTGCGCTTGTCCTTCAAAGGAGATATATTAATTAAATTTCTTTAATTACATGAAAATATGTATCGAGATATTTTATATATAAGATGAGCCCACATATAATCATTGCTTAATCTAATCAAGGCTTCATTTGGAACAGCTTTCTTACTGCTTCATAAAGCAGTTTTCTATTAAAAAGCTGCTTTAATAAGCAATAAGAAAGCCGTCACAACTGAAGCCTAAATCGAACTGGCCCATGAGATCGACCTCTTTCAACCGGCGGAGTTGACATGAGCTAAGCACAACGAATCACACATGAAGTCAGAGAAGGCATACTTTAAATTTAATCGCTCATCATCCAAACCATGACAATAACATGCAATCTTTTTTTATTCATTTGCATAAGATCAATGGCCACCATATATATGATGGTGAGAATAAGTCTTGGAATCAAAGATCAAACCTAACATTTTAATAAAATACTCCCAACAGGAAAAAAAAACTATTTTTATGATATCACTTCAGTAGCTGATCATCTCGGAAAATAAGAAGAACCTTCACGCAACCACAATTCATTGTTTGGATTAGACGGTTAGAGGAAGGAAGAGAGGGGCCACGGGATGTTCTCTAATTATTTCTATATTGCTTCAAAAATTCCGACAGCTACATGACCCGGTCAAATAAGAATAAATGCATTATTCACAGTATATATGAATTATTTTTTAAGACATATAGAACAAAATTTAGTAAATATCTAATAGAGAAAATGTATTAAAAGAGAACTATAAGATTAAGACTTTGTTTGGGCTGACTTTCTTAGTGTTTCTTAAAGTAATTTTTTAGTAAGAAAATTTTAAATTTTGTACTAAAAACTACTTTAAGAAACAGTAAGAAAGCCGTCCCAAATGAAGCCTAAGTTATGTATTACAGAGATGAGGATACTTAGATGGATGAGTGGCTTTACACTTAGAGGCAAAACATGAAACCATCATATGTGAAAATGTTGGAGTAGCTCCAGTGACAGAAAAGATTAGAGAGAGTCGTCTTAGATGTTTTAGTCACATAAAATGTTGGCATTCTGATAACTCGATTAGGGGAGTAGATGTATTGGATCTGTCCAATGTTAAGCAAAGTAGTGGTAGACCTATAGGACTAGGTTAGAATGTATTAGAAAAGACATTTTTTAAAATTAGATTTAAAAGAGAATTTGACTCTTAATAGGTCACAATTAATGGAGAAAAATGATTTATGTAGTCAATCCCACATAGTAGGATAAAGACTTGTTGTTGTTGATGTTGTTGTTGTATGATGTATTAAACAATATTATTATATAGATTATTTTTGGTAGTTAATATTGTAACATAATAGATTGATTATGCATTAAAATTTTCGATGTAGATTAGGATGCCCTTTAAATAATAATATTTTCATGATATTTGGGAACCCCATGTCAGCTAATTGCTTCATGGATTTCACTATAATTCTATAAATTGTGTAGTGTTTTCACTAAATAATACACATGTTTATTGATATTCATTCTAGCCATCCCTTGTGCTACATGTTATTATGATGCTTGTCTTTTCTTCATTAGCCAATTCTTCATTGCCAAGGCCATGGCTAATGATGATCAAACCTGATCACAAAGATCTCTCACCAAACACTTAACAATTTTAGTGAAGCTCTATCTCTCAATTTTGTTCTTTGTTGAAATAAGGTGGCCTTGCCAACCATTTTGGTAAGTTGTTTCTTAATGATTTTGTGTTCTATTACATCACACGTTAATAAAATAAAATAAACTTATTATATGATGCAATATGTCCAAAGCCAATGAAAAATTAAAAGAAATTTTAAACTCTAAGATGAGTATTATATTTCAATATTTATGACAGTTTGATGACTATTGATGTCTTTTTTAAGGTGCGGGATGGTTGGTATAGAAGGTTACTGTTCTATCCAACCTTGGGCTATGAGTGAGTGTATGTATACTAAAATTATAGTTGTAAGGTGTTCGGCTTAAGATAAAGATGATAAAAGGAGATTTGTGTTGCTGCTTCATATACGAGGAATAGTATTCCATAGTAATTTTTCTTGAGTTTGACTTAGCATTTTCATGCTCACTTGTTGAGTAGCTTGTTTATTGGTGCCTCTCTATTGTCATGTACTAAATTGACTTATTTATATGTTTAAATTTATAGAACAAAAAAATGATGATGATAGACAATAGAATTGATTAGCTTGTAATTATGAAATGATTAAATAGCCATTAGTTTGATTGACTTGATACAATCAAGCTATTAAATGAAATTGAGTTGTGCTAATTTGAATTAGAATTTACTAAGTAGATAAATATTTGCAAAGATGAATCCCTATTTAGTTGAGTAAATTGAAAGGATTGTAACTCAAGGTAATTAAACCTAGTACATATGAGTACTATTTATGTTGGTTAGTCATGTGGGTTGAATCCAAGGAGATTTTAGGAAGTCAAATAAATCTAATTAAGAGGATTATCAAGCTACATAAAAGTGTGTGATGTAGAGGCCGGATAATCGAGTATTTTAGGGTCCTATAGGTTTTCAATGGAGCTCTATTTGTCAATTATGCTCTTTGTTGAAATAAGTTTGTTTTGCCGACTATTTCAATAGAAGTTTTTTTTTCTTAATTATTTTGTGTTCAAATACGTCACATGGTAATGGAATAAAGTAAACCTATTAGATGATGAAATATTTTATCTCCAACCTTGAGCTAGAGTGAGTTGTTTATCAAAAGTGCAATTAGATGTTTATTTGTACGTTTAAATTCTTATAATGAAATGATGATGATAATAGACGATAGAATTGACCACCTATGTAACTAAGAAATGAACAAAGAGCTAACAAGTTCGAATTGAAATCAACTCATACAAAAGGATAGAGAAAATAAAGTGCCCAAGGTAACCGCGAGGAATTGTGAAGATAGTGTGACTATTAAAAATGATTAGTTAGAATGGGAAATTAGTTTGCATGGTAAAATATATAAGTACTACTTCTCAAGAACCCTTTCAAAGTCATTTTATACATATCAATATGTAAGTTTAATTTTTTTTGGCAGCATATAAGTATTTAAATGTCTACTATGCTACACTTTATTCATATCAAGCTTTCCATTAGGTTTTAATTAATTTTTCATGAATTGTTCACTATGTTAACTTATAGTTGCTAATTTGATAGCATCATACAAGAAAGTCTATAATAATAGAGAATTGAGTTATTTAATGGTCCCATCAAAAGGCCAACATGGGCATATAAAAGTTTTCCTATAGTCCTAATTTTTCAAGATATGTAATCACAAGAAGAAATATTTTTAGGCTTATAAATTGAGACATCCAAACTTGGGGGTGCAATGATTGGAATCATGAAAATCTTTATCTAATTAAGTACAAATCATAGTTTGAAGCACTACAGGAAAACAACTCATTTCCGGTAGAATTTCTGGCAGAAGTAAATTGGTCACAAATTCCGGCGGATTTTCTGACGGAAATTTTCGACAAATTTCTGACATATTTTTTTATTGTATTTCCGGCAGATTTATTTCCGACGGAATTTTTAGCGGATTTCCTACGGGAATTAAAAAATTAAGTTATATCTTAATAACTTATTGTTAAATTAAATATTTTTTCAGCGGATTTTCCACCGGAAATTCATCAAAAATTTTTCCGACGGATTATTTTGCGCTGGAAGGAATTTTCCGACGTGTGTTTTACAGTCAAAAATTTTTCCGCCAAAAAAATCCTTTGGAAATACTAATTTCCGATAAATTTTGATCATTTTTCTAGCAGAAATGGCCGCTAGAAAATGACGTTTTTTCCTGTAGTGAAGTGTGCAACTCAACATGAATGAAGAGAAATGATATGATAATGACATTTAATTTTACTCCAAATGACAAAATTAAAGAGAAAACAAGCTTGGAACAATATAAAAATCCCATCATAAGGCTTAAAACAATCGAACCAACTAGTTTAAAATAAACTTGCCTGGTTAGTCAATCTTCTTAGTAGTCGCTTATAAGGGAATGCATAGCCTCATCTTCACTAGAGCTGCCTTACCAGCCAGCCCCTAAAGATCCCTTCAATGAGAGCAGCTTGTGGATGGCCCTCAAAAGTCTTAATGTGCCATAACCTTCGCTCCTTCCATAGCTATCACCAACAAGACTTGCATCTACGCTTGCATTATAACCATCTCCTACAAAATTTTCTTTCTAGTCATCCCAACTGGATTTCCACTTAAGAAATTATATGCCCTCTTTGTTTGATTCATTTAACTGCTCGTATGAGCAATAAAAAAGGTAAGATATACATGATCAATATTCAGCATAGAACAAGATTATACAAATAAATCTCTTAATTACTATTTATTTTCTATCACATAACATATAGACTCGGTATCTAAATTTATAGACCTTAGACCTGTTTGAACATTTTTAAATTCTGTAATCTCTCTTGAATTACCTTCCTCAGCCTTACTGTTTAGATCAAGTTTAGCTTCAAATCTAACAGTACATTATTTCTCCTTATCATACCTGCTGAGGGCTAGGCCAATAACGCACAGAAATCTTCACCTTCCAGAGAACTGTGTAACTGATACAGTTGCTCGGGTTGCAGAAGATGACCATGCAGAGGAGGAGGTTTCACCATTAGCCCGAGTCGAAGACTCTATAAAAATAGGCCTAGCAGGCTCACTTATAGGATCGCCTCGGCTTAGCAGCAAAACCACAACTTCAGACATTGTTGGCCTCGTGGCCACCATAGACTGAGTGCAAAGGAGAGCTATTTTCATGACTCTCTTTATTTCGTCTAGCTCAGAGTCATCAGGATTCATGGATTTATCTATCAACTCTACCAGATCATCTTGCTCATAAAGCTTCCACACCTGTTAAAAAAAACAATGAAAGAAGAATGATATGTTATATTATACTAATGGCAAAGTGAGAATTGTACACAGATAGATACACTCATGATTGGTTTCTTATTAAATTGAGTGCAATGGCAATTAAGGCTTCGTTTAGGACGGCTTTCTTACTTCTTAAAGCAGCTTTTTAGTAAAAAATTAAAATTTTTGTAATAGAAAGCTGTTTTAAGAAGCAGTAAGAAAGTCGTCCCAAACAAAGCCTAAATGAAACTTCAGAAAGCACCTACCCATTCTAGAAGATACTGCTTAATATGTTCAAGCTTTGGATTGCTGTTCCTCCGTCCACTAATGATTTCTAGTACAACAACACCGAAGCTGTATGTATCGACCTTCTCGGTTAGCTGACCATGTATAGCATACTCGGGTGCTGTATATCCCCTGTTCAAAAGTATTTAGATAAACTGATAACTAAAGCTTCATTTGGGCAGCTTTCTTATTGCTTTTTAATGCAACTTTCTAGTACAAAAATTTTAATTTTGGTACTAAAAAACTACTTTAAAAAACAGCAAAAAAGCTGTCCCAAACGAAGCCTAAGTGTCAACAAAGCAAGTGCTAATGCCCTAAATTATGGAAATTCATGCATACAATGTTCCGGCAAATTTGGTGCTAAGGTGGCTCTGATCTCCAGGTAGAAGTCTCACAAGCCCAAAATCAGCAATCTTTGGCTGGAAGTTGTCATCAAGGAGTATGTTGCTTGGTTTTATATCACGATGTATGATGCAGACATGGAATTCTTGATGCAGATATGAAATACCCTTGGCCATGCCAACTATAATATCAAATCTCTGTTTCCAGCTAAGCAATTCATTCTTTTCACCTGCTAAAGACAAGGAAAAATAAAAATCCAATGCTTTCAAAAGTTGAATTTCTTATAACACACCAACTCATTATGGCACCCAAATAACCACCATTGTACTACACTACTAGTTTCAACTTTTTCACCATTGAACTCTAACTAGATGATTATCAGATGGTAATGTATGCTTTGATAACATTATTAGAATCAGATACTAGTCATTTCTATCAATTACACAGAAAGAAAGCACGACTCCACCTCCCGAAATCAACTTTATGCTCTAACTAGGCAACAATGGCTTATTTCTTCATTTTGATTATGTCGAAATGATGCTAGAATTTAACTTGTCTATAAGCTTTTGGAGCCCAAGTGGCATTTTTAATGACAACTTTCTCTTTTAAACTTATTCATGATACTCAACACATGAAGAATAATAAGTTATCAATTTTTTCATGAATAGTAGTTTTTAAACTTGAAGACATAAAGAATCAGAAGACTTTTACCTATTTACTAGCTTTAGCAGCATCATATGGCGGGGTTGCCATTTCTAATAGACGTTTTAGTAGTGAAGTATCCATGGAGCCATCAATATTTTCATTATGTATGCCTTCAACATCAACTTCATCTGCTCTTTGGTCAACATCTGCTACATCATTAGTAGGTGCTAGATTGATTGGCCTTGAATAACCCTTATTTAGCATGATTGATTTTATCCATATAGGAATACCTTAGCAGTGACAACTATATTTAGTTGATTCTTGAATAGGAGATCAATATGAAATGGGTATAGAAATTTCCTTGAGGTAGAATGCAAGATCATATTCTATAATTGTTTATGTGGGAGAAATTGATATGAGGCGCTGTACTCCATTAAAATGATACAATATCTTTAAATTGGTTTATGTCAACCTCTATAACTATGTGTAGAATATCTATAAGTTCTTCGAATGCAAAACTTCTTGGAAACATTAGCCCTTTATTTTATTTCCCACTAAATGTCCAACCAACTTTGTTGTCATCTTTCATTCTCTAACATAGAGCAGAAATCTAATGCTTAATTTACTCGAAGAAAATACTATAAAAATAAAGACAAGTAAAAAATCTATCAAGTTAAAAAAAAAAAAAAGGTCGAAACCTAGGTTCAAACTTCGTATAACCAGGCTCAGACAGGTCGAACAAGTTTCTAATCTTTTCTAAGATTTTTTTTTTAAAATCTTTTCTAAGATGGGTTTGAACCAGGCTCCAATAAGGTTTGTTTGAACTAGGTTTGATGTAGGCTCAAACAAAGTTCAAACTAGGATTGAATGAAAGAAAGTAAAGTTAAAAAATGCTTAAACCTAGGGTGAATAAGATTTGAAACTTGTTTGACCAATTCAAACCCAATTTGAACTACTTTCAAACTTTACTTGCTCGAACCTATTTCTCGGAACACTTTGTCTAGTTCTACAATCATATTCTATCAAAATGAACTTAATCTCCAATAATTCTCTTCAATGTATGTATTTTGTAAGAATGAATTCAACATTGAATCTAAGTATGTATACATACATATTTATAAATATATATGTATTTCTATATATATATTGTGTGTGTATGTGCATGTTTGTGTGTGTTGGGGAGTAGCAGGCATATATGACTTGATAGTATGTTGTTAATTACAATATTAATAGTTCATTGGATGGATAAACTAAACTCCTTTTCAAGAAAAGATAATGTCAGACGATGATTCACTATTTACTTGCATGCTCTTAGCAACTATTTAATATATTCAAATTTGTCCATTTAAAAGAATATGAGTGATGAGTTATTTTCTTCCAAATCAATCAAGGCTCATAAATAACTTAATTTTAGAAATATAATGGTTACATTCATTAATTGAGTTATGCATAATATAACTTGGAGTTACAATGTAAGCAAAAGAAAAAAATATTATAATTGGCAATGTGGATAAAGGCTTACCTAGGTAGAAATCATGTCTTCAAAAACATTGAAGTCTATCCAAGGAAATTTTATAATAAGCGAGAAGTAGGACTTTTTAGTGTAAGATTGTTGATGTCCATGTATTACCAAATAATAGAGTTGATTTCTTAAATACAACGAGAAATAATTTTTGTATTTTTTAGAATAAATAGAAGATAAAATCATATATTATCCATATTTTGGGGTTCTCCTATTCGAGCTTACTAATGATTGAGTGATCAAGATAAACTATTTAAGTTATAATAGATGCTATAATGCTAAGATGAAAAAAGATTATCTGGGAAAATATAGAATTGGTGTGGATAACGGTCCCATGATGAAAAAAGATTATCTGTGAAAAATTCCTAAAGTGTATTGTGAACACCATCAAACATTACTAGTTAGGAAGCATGATTAGTAAAGATAGGTAAGAGGTGTGAAGTGTTGTGGGAAACAAATGAATTTTAAAAAGAAAAAAATAATGCTCCTTAGAAGTTGCATCTCTATTTTAAAAAAGTTACAACTTAGCTTGATGACAAATGGGCAGTCAAGCAGAAATGTAAAGACGTGTGAGAGTATTAATATAATTTCATATTAAATAGTTGAAAAATATATTGCGTATATAGAAAGATCAAGTGGTTAGCCTTCACTCTAAGCTTAAGCTTTCATGTTGAAAGAGAGGTTGTCCATTGGTGTACCAGACCAAATTTTGATTCCCCTTTGCTTAATATTCTCTAACAAGGGGCATTTGAGGTGATGTTTGTGATTTTGATGCAATTTGAGGCTCTCAAAGATATATTGGAGAGTGTGTACCATGATTGAGGAAGGTTTAAAAGCAGGTCCCTCATATAGGCAATACATAATTAACTAAATTTTTTATGCATGATATCTAATGACGTTGAAGAAGCTTTCTTGAAATAGAATGATGGCTAATGAGAATGCATCTTATTGATGGGAAAATTATTAAAGCATGTGAGAATATTGGGTTTAGTGCCACACCATACAATTGAAAAATATATTAATATAGAAATACCATGTGGTTGGTCTTTAATCATAGGCTTAAACTTTTAGTTAAATATGAGTTTAAACATTGGTGTATTAGGCCCAATTTAAGCCCCTCGTTGGTTAAAAGCCCCTAAGAGAAAGCAAGTGTCAAGACATCTACATATCACGCACAAAGCAATATGCATATAAGAATTCCTATTATCAGTTGCTTTAGTAAGTTGACAAAAGGTTCTTACCAAATAAGAATTTATCAAGACTTCCATTAGCCATGTATTCATAAACAAGCAGCAAGTTATCTCGATTGCCACAACAACCAAGCAATCGAACCAAGTTCCGATGGTGAACATTGCTTATAAGCTTTACTTCACTCTGGAAACTTGCTTTAGTAGTTTCTGATTGAGTTATTGCCAACCTCTTCACTGCTACGATGTTGCCATTTTTTAGGATACCCTACAAGAAAAAATTACCTTTAACATGTTGATTGAGAGCAAACTTAATAATGATGTCAATTTACAACAAAATATTTGTAGAGGTGAAATGAATCATTATTTTTCTCATAGTATTTATACTAATGAATAAACCAATGCAAGCATGAAGTTTGTTGATATTCCATATGCTTTATAGACAACTTTATATGGTTTACCTTGTAAACCTCACCAAAACCTCCTTCCCCAAGTTTATTTTCTTGGCTGAAATTTTTTGTTGCAGATTTCAGATCTGTGTAATGGAAACTCACAGGACCTCGAAGCTCTGTTGCTCCCAGCAAGTTACCTATAGAAAAAGAAAATCTTTATCATAAGTTTTATGACTGCATAAAAAGAGTAGAGATCATAAAAAGACTCCGCATCACACTGGGTATATAGATAGGACATTTCATGATAGCTAGTATTATTGATTTTCATCTTCATATTTTTACCTTTCTAGATCTGACAAACAAAGGGGGTAATACCAATTCTTTATACAACACAATCATATTGCAGCAACCAAAGGCCGGATTTATCATAACCAGAAAAAAAAAAAAAAAAAATCCTCAAAACTTCTCATATAATCTATGTCACTAGAGATTCTTAGGCTTTTGTTAAAAACACCTTCAAGTTCAAATATAAAGTTTCTTGGGAGATGCTCATATTTTTTTGGCATAACTACCACTATAACTACTGGTATAATAAGTCGGAGGAAGTGGCCAAGTTATTAATAATGGTGATGAACAGCTAAAAATTACAATATGCCTTTTTATGAAGGCATCCACAACCATGTTTTGTATTAGAAAACTGAACTTAGATTATGACAATGACGTTATATATAGGTAATAAGTCATTTTCAGTTGCCATATTCTAATATATCATTGCACTCTCTAACAGAGTATAAACAAATAAAAATTAAGCAGGTGTAAAAGATAACATATATTCTTCTCCATAACAAGGTAGCTTTTCCACATGTACCAATTAGACAAGAATCTAATCTAGGAGACTAAAATGGGTGATTTGTTGCTTAATCGTTAGAGGAGAAGGCTGTTTCTCAAATCTCATGAGTTTAAATCCCATGGCTATTATAATTTATCGCTCGCCAGTTTCAACAAAATGGGCTTAGAGAAAATGATGAACACAAAGGCAAATATATTATTAGGATTAATGAAAGTTAGTGTGCTCAAATTTGATATATATATATATATATATATACATATTTTGTTTGGAAAGTGAGCCAACAAATCTTAATTTAGATAGCGGTTATTCGCGTTATCAAACGCGGGCCACCGCGGTGGAGGTAATTAGATCACATCCCAAGAAGTACTCTTCAAACAAATGGTAAAAGCAATAACCAGAACTTGATAGGACATAGGAAAAGCACTGAAGCAGTATACGAAACAAATCACTCCTTACCTTTCCACTCATCCTCCCGCCTTCGAGACTTTCTGATCCACAGAAACGCCAGAAAACTCAGAATCAATAACCCCACGACTCCTCCAACCACGCCAGCAACAATAGCTCGTGTATTCTTGCTCGACTCCCCTGCTCAGCATTTGAACAAACATCTTCCGCTCAAACTCAAAACCATAATCACTCTCAAGTTCCCACCTTTCTTAATCAAATCAATCACAAAACAAATCAAATACCTGATCCACCCAAATAACGCGAAAGATCCATAGTCTGATTCGCCGAGAAGAACGTCAGATTAGAGTACCTCATAAAACACCCAGCGTCCACCGCTCGACCATTCCCCGCCGGCAAACATCCCTGTATATTCTTATATGCGACCTGTAAACACTGCGCACAGACATCTTCACTCAGCGTATCCGCACACTGCGCCGCACCAAACACTCCATCTCCCACCGCTGTCCCAGAATATTCATCGATCTTCGGCACCGCCAAGCTCAAATCCATTGTCAACGCCGTCGCCGCGGCGGCGAACCCCTCCAAAGCAGAGGAGCCGTTGCCGCAAACCGCGGTATTTCCGGGGAGAGTTCCCTGATCGAAAAAGGGCGCGCTTTCATAGCGGAGAGTGCAACCATCGAAGATGACGCGGCCGCCGGTGCCGAAGCCGCACCTGCGGGTGCTCGAAACGGCGGCGGCGAGGCAGGCGAGGCAATCAGAAAGGGATAGGTACGACCTGCAGAAGAAGAGGCCGTAGACGGGTGCGGCGGATTGCGGCAGCTCGGAGGTGGCGGAGAGGTCGCCGCCGGCGGCAGACGAGAGTTTGGAGCGGAGCCTAGAGAAAGTGGTGTTGAGGTTGGATAAGAAGAGGGAGGTATTGGTGGCGTTGTAGGTGCTGCAGCCAATGTCGAGGAGGTTGGTCTGTGGGTCCGCGACGGTGAGATCGTTTTTCCATAGGAGGAGGAGGAAGACGAGGTTGTGAAGAAGCATTTTGGTTCTGGGTGAGAGAGAGAGAGAGAGAGAGATAGACACGTTGGTCTTGACGACTAAGTAGTAGGCGGCCGGGAAGTAAGTTGCCCAGAAAAGAAAAAAAAAATGAATTTGAGATATTTGTAGAATCGAATGCCAGGGTCTGTGTAAAATGTCAACGAGTCTGAGGTGTTTTCAACATCAGAGAAGATAGTACTAAAAAAACATCAGAGATGATGTAAGCATGAAGAAGACGACGAACCCGGAAATTCTAGCCAATAGGTCACGCCAACGGGTTATTCGGATAATTAGTTTAATGAATAGTTTAAGAGAGCTCCATATGTCAAAGTTGTGGAGTTGTGGAGTTATGGTAATTTTATGGCAGGAGAGAGATATACATAAGGGCCAAATAAGCCTTAATTTTTAGGGAGATAAATTTATAAGTATATATGTTGGTGTTGTCATAAATTTGGTTTGACATTTTACTACAAGAAAAATGGTCAATAGCGACCCCTATTTATTCATATCTTTAATCATTATAAGCTTCATTGATATATTGGTGGTCTAAAGGAATAGCACCTCCTGAAGAGCAATTGCTTAAAAACTTTTGTAATAAAGACAAAAAAAAAAAAGATGGAGGGAAGACAAATTACCAATGGAATAATATAACAAATAAAACTTTTTTTTAGGGGGGCAATTGCCCACCCTAACTTAAAGGGGGTTCTGCCCCTTGAGATATGGAGTTTAGCATTTTAGTTATGTACGATAATTCAGCACACTAACAGATAAAAAAGTGGGGGTGTAGCGTTCATGAGGGACATCGAGATTTTACGTAGAAAATCTTAAAAGGGAAAAAAATTACGGGATCTGACCTAGTTTGAATCAATCCACTAGTATTAATGGTTAAGTACAAATAATATTCCTCCTCGGAGGAGGGTGCTAACTTAATGTAGTGAATACACATTATATATAGCTCGTTATATGGTAATTCTTGTAAAGAGAATGTTGACATATTTATTTTATTAGTAGGATTGTAGTCGACGAGCGAATGTTATCGGAGGGATCGTAGTCGGCGGACGATGGTAGTTGGAAGGACCATAGTCAATGACGATGGTCGGAATGAGCATAATCGGGTTATGGTTGTCAGAAGGACTGTATGTTGTCGAGTGATAGTGGTCTGAATGACCAAAGTTCGGTGACAACAGTTAGAAGGGTCGTAGTCGGGTGACGGAGGTTGAAAGAACTATAATTGGGCAACGGAGATTGAAGGGATTGTAGTTAGGCGATCGTGGTCAGGAGGACAGTAATCGGCAACAGGCGGTGGTCGGAAGGACCGTAATTGGGTGATAGTGGTCGGGAAGACCATAGTCGGGAGATGATTCTCGAAGAGATCGTAATTGAACGACGATGATCAGAAATACTATATTTGTGCAACGAGGGTTAGAAGGATCGTAGTCGGATGATGATGGTTGGAAATATTGTACACTACAGGAAAAGGGCTTATTACCGATGGACAAAATTTGTCGGAAATTTTATATTTCTGACGAAAATCCATACGATGGTAATTCATGCGTTAGAAAATCATTACCAACAGAATGTTTTCCGTCGGAAATGTTTCTAGCAATTTTTTGTGAAATTTCAGCAATAAAAATGAAAGTTGCACGTCATTTTCTTTGAATTAATTTTGACATTTATTCCACTGATATTTCCAGCAAAAAATTTGCGCCTGAATTGTAGGCGAATAATCCACCACCTATTATGTCATACTATTATTGACGGATAACATGACGTATTATCTGTCAGAAATACCAGCATAATGGATCTGCCAAAAATACTAAATACATTTTGTCATATTGTATTTTCCAGCGGATTTTCAGCGGATAATTCTCTGAAAGCTGTAGCATAGACAAAAAAATCAGCCTTCCCTCTTAGGAAACTATTTTCTACAATACAACTTGCATACAAAAGTTTCAATACTATATACATTCAAATATAAACCTCTAATAAAAAATAACACCAAAGATTGAACATAAACATATAAACATAAATAAAAATAAGAAGAATATCTTCAACAAAATATCCAAAACTACCCAAATATCCAAAAACAAATGAGTACAAATGTTCAGAAAATAAATAAGTACATATATCCAAAAATAAATAAGTATATATGTCCAGAAAAATACTACATAACATCTAATCTGAATTAGTCTCCTCCTCTACTAAAGTTACCTTCTTTCCACTAATTGCTCCATCTTTTTTTGCATTTCATTCAACGACTGAGTTTACTGCATTTTCATCTGTTGTTACATCTACATATGCATCTATCAATCAGCTTGTGCTTTATCGGCCTACTCTAGCTCAGCTATAAGGGTAGCAATCTATTGCCTAAATAAGGACTCCTATGTACTTGCTGAGAAGCTAGAGCCACCAAATGTTTACCCTCGTATGCATAGGCTTGCAAGCCTAACCATAAACCCTACCATGTTGCATTCCTCATATTGCTTGCGACTAAGTGGGGTAGCTAGAATATTCTGTTAATCTACTAGAACAACCTTCATATGCTGTAGCTTGGCTCTTTCGAAGTTGTGTAACTCCTCTTATGAAAGTTAATAAAAATTTAAGCAATTTATACATAATATCAAAAATATTAAACTTATAAACTTATGTAGGCTATCCTTGCTCTCTTATCAACACATTGTTGATCCTTTTGCTACTTGTGGGTATAACTATTGTTGCAAATCTATTTTCATGGCTTAGGTTTTGATGATTAACAAACACTATTTCTCTTGGACTGCTTGTTGCTTCTAACTTTTGAGGAATCGAAGATCGGGCGAACAAGACAAAGACAGTTCAGGATTACGTAGGTTTAGGGTTGAGTCAGTCTGTACTTTTGTTTTTCACTTCTTGAGTATACTTGTAATGGTCAAAGAGACTGATGCTAAGTAACCCTACACACAAACTTGAGAGACTTAGAATTTCTGCTTTTTCTCATATCGGCCAGGACGATTTTTTACATCGGCCTGGATGATCAGGCTTAAAACAGAAAGTCTAAATAAGGATTCTTAATTAAGGCAGCCGACATTAACATATCGGCCTGGACGATACGTGTATCGGCCAGGATGATAAGCTCAAAATAGAAAGAAGTTGCCGCCATAGACAATTAAGGTATACTGCATTTTTAAATTATCGG